CGATCTATTGAATTTGTCCTTATCAAGTAGTTTTTTCGGTGCATTTAGCCTAAGGCTCGAGATGAATAGAAGCGTCGTAAAGAGAAATTACGAAAAACGCCTCGTCCCCCCTCCCCTTCCTGCGCCGTTGCGTCACCCCGATATTGTGGCCCTCCGTCGGCGCGACGGCACGGCCAAGGCCAGGGCCAGCGGCGTGCGGCAGCCCGGCGGAGCAGGCGGGATTGGCGGGATAACGCGAGCCAGACTGTCGAGTTTTATGCTTTCGTCACATTTGCATCTCATCAACTTTTCCAACAGATAGTAATAGTAGTACATAACTATCTATTCACATCATTTCCGTCTTTCCTTTTGAATACCATTATTAAAATTGTTTGAGAACATTACTCAAATATCGATTCCTATTTGGAAACTGGTTTTTAAACAATTGAACTAATTCTGTAAATATCACCGATTAGTCATCTTCTCACATCTTATTTAGATATATTTTACTTCTAAGTTATTCCGTTTTCATTCCACCTTACTCTAGATCTTCCGTTGTCACATACCGGAAGATGAGCGGAGTATTACGCACGAGCTCTTTTATTCCTACAACTCGGATTTTTTGATCTCTAACGCGTATATCTGCCTTACAGAGATTATCTGGTGAATCTCTTTTCCCAAGTAAAATACCGAAGCTATTTTTAAAAAAATGTTTTCGTATTTCGGACTCATTTAAAAAGGTGTAAAATAGCGCGCTGGCGAGCTGCATCCTGACCCCCAACCGTTACCAAGCTTCGAAATAAGATATGAATCATCCAGCTTACTTGGTAAGTTTTATATTGAATAAAATAAATGTTATATCTGTATAAGTTGAAGGAATAATAATTCCCGGTTGCGTCATTCGACAGACTACGTAAATGAATAAAGAGTATTGATGCAATGGATAACTCCTAAATTATGGAGCATGTTTTCCCTTCCAATTTCATTTGTTTAAAAAAAATGGATTTCATATAAAAAGTTATATAGAAGTATCTATCTTGCAGTATGTAAAACCAGTTTGACGTAGACTCTATGAATCGGCCCACCAATGATATAAATAATATGGAACATTCAAACAGGCTTAAAAACCAACGTTTTTTTTCTGTGAGTATGCATCGCCTGAATATACTTTTACGCTAACGCTTACGCGAGCATAATGTAATAAAACAACTTTCCAGAAAATATAGCAAATGAGGGCTTCTTTCAATGTGAATTGTTCTGAAAATCTTCAGGAAAGTATCACGGTTATATAATGGACTCTGCTTGCTACATCATCATCATCATCATCATAATAATAATAATTTAATAAAATAATAATAATAATAATAATAATAATAGCCACGCTTTGGAGGAAAAAATGTTACTATGTTTTGCTTATATCGTCCAGTGAATCTTCACTTCAATGTCTGAGATTGTCTGCTTCATTGTTGCATGTCGTCTGCTGTATTGTCAGCCTGCCTCGGGCAATATTATAACAGAATGTTGCAAGTACATTTACTTTTAAGTGAAAATCGAAACAGATAATTGTTTTTGAATTTTTCCCGGACGTTCATGGATATCTTACATTGTCATCTCTCAAAGGACCGAGACGGCCACAGTTTTTCTTTCGATTTCTATCGCTGTGAAATTTTTACTTACATTACCGAAAAGTTTTTTTTATAGGAATCATGTTGCCCGAACGATTACTGGTCGTGCGTTCATATTCCACTCAGTGATATTTAACCACTTCAGTTTTGGAACTTAAAAAACTCACTGTTCTCGCTTTACAAAGCTGTAATCTCATGCGTTCGCGAGCTGCGTGGAAACGACGACTTGCTTTCGATAGTATAGATTGCAAAAATCGCTCAACAAACGTTCATAATGAACAAATGGCTGCAGATAAGCATTCAACCTTTTTAATTAGTATCAAAAATTATTTTTTATTCGTTAAAATAGGTTACTAAGAACAAGTTTAAAACAGCTACTAGGTTTCACTGTCACGAAATTGCGTGTTTGTAGAGAGCTTTTTTGATTCTGATACCAAAAATCTTATTGTCGATATACATATACACTTACACAAGAGTCATTTCAAGGAACGAAAACCACTGCAGTTTCCTAGGATTAATGAACCTTCCTAATTAAGCTCTTCCCGAGCGCCAATAGTAACATTTAATGCAGTTTTTAAAATATATACTCCATAGATCTCGTCATTCGAAGGATCCAAAATTTTCAGGTAGAGCACTTCTTTGTAGCAGAACACAAGTTTCTGTATCATTTTTTTCTCCAGAAATCGTCTCATCGCGGTGGAATAATTTCATGATGTATTCTTTGGGTACATACAACGAAATGACAACTTCTTTTCCAACTGCGAGTGAAGCTGGCCCTTTAATTTGATAATTAATAATCGCTCTTTTTTTCAATTTCAATGACTTTTTGGCAATTGCAGAAAATTTTTTATGTTATGCATGCCTCCTGTAGTTGTCATGTTTTTTACTGATTGGGGACATTTATTATTTCTAATATTGAATCTTCTCCGACCAAACGTTCAGGGGGAAGCTCCAAGAAACCCATGAATTGGGTTGTACAAGAGGACCGCATTCGTCAACAATTAGACTGTTTTTTTTTTGAAAACAATCAATAGCGCGTGATTCGATATCTCGCTTCCGTACCATTCATGGCACTTGACCGAATTCACCAAATAGCAGTTTTTTGGCGACAGGAGCCCACTTATTAGACTGCCTCTTACAAACATATCCGAAAATTGGACGCGGTGCAGCCTGTCTTTCTTTCATTGTGTGCCACCTCTTCAATTCTGCCTGCCCTGCTTGTTCGCCTATTTCAGCTCCACTATTTTCCTCTTTATTAAGAGACAGTTGCAAGATCTTCTTCTCTTTCATTGTTGTCAGTTCGCTATCCTCCATGTCCTACCTGCGATAGCACATACACCGGGTCAGCTAACCGTTTTGCGCTTCTTTTAGATAACGCTGCGCAGATCTTACTTTCTACCATTCTTTCCCTTCTTGCCGCTGCTTGAAAGAAGCGACCTCTGCAAGCTGCTCTTCGTTTCTCCGTTCCTTCTCACCTTTTTGCTTTACAATAGTAGCAGGACTTTCATTCGACCATAGATTTCATTGTCATCATAGTGCCAATACATTTCACTGAAAGTCTAAACCCGGCAAGGTTTTGATTCTGTGGTAAAAGAACACGTTTGCCTCGTTGTTAATTTGTCTTCCCCAGTAAAATTTGCCACTAAAGACATGTATATTCTGCAGCGTTTGCTATGCTGTTGTGATAAGTGATGTGTTTTCAATACGAACGTGGCTGCAATAGAATCGTGCTTATGTCGCAGATTTCCTTCTCTTCTGTTGGGCAGGTCGAGAGGACTCACCTATTTGGAGCAAAAATATGGCTTGCAGAATCTGTGAATGCCAAAAAGTTGTAGCATAAAAAGAGCTTGTGCGTATACTCCGCTCATTCTTTCCGGTATGTGACAACGAAGATCTTAGAGTAAGCGTGGAATGAAACGGAATACCTTAGAAGTAAATATATCTAAATAAGATGTGAGAAGATCGACTAAGGTGATATTTAGAAAGTAGTTCAAATGTTTTAAAAACCAGTTCCAAATAGGAATCGATATTTGAGTAATGTCTCAAACAATTTTAATATGCGTATTCAAAGAAGACGAAATATGTGGAAAAAGATAGTTATGTACTGCTATTACAGACCGTGTTACGTCGGTCTGTAAATAGGCAGTATAGATCTCTAGTTTGGGTATCTGTGGAAAAGTAGATTGAGATGCCAAAGTGACGAAAAGCATAAACCGACTGTCTGCTCACGTATCCCGCAAGTCCTGCCTGCTCGCGGGGCTGGCCGCACGCGCTTGGCCTGGCAGTGGTCGTGCCCCGCCGCGACAGAGGGCCCCACAACAATCGCGGTGGATGACGCAACCGGCGCAGAGGGGAGGGGGGGGCGAAGCGGTTTGGTGTCGTAAATTCACTTTACGAAGTTTTATTCATTCGATTTGCGATGATTTGTCACGGCGTTGGATTTCAGCAAGCATGTCCGCCATTCGCGCTATAAGCCCACATTTTTTAATTTTTTCTCGGAAGCTTGAGAACTAATTTCAAATTTGAATTTTTTGCTAGGATTTTTGCGAAAAAAGGGCATCGTACGTGAATTCTATTTTAAAAAAGCGTCAAAGCCGTTTACAGATCGAAAATCGGACCATTGGTTCAGACGTTATCGCTAAAGTTAAATTTTACTTATTTTGGTGCTGCCACGTGGTGGCCACAAATTGTACTAGTGTCGGTACATTTAGCCTTAAAGAGTGAAATAAAGTTATAACCTTGAGTATTAAAATTGATATACACACTTTAGAGTACACATCGCATTCACAAGAAAAGCAAAATATTCTCGCATATTAGAATTAAGTCATTGCCTCCAGTGTAATTAGTGCGTTAAATTAGTCCTTTGAAGTATTGTATTGACGAAATACCTACTTCTAGGGAATATTAACCGTTAGAATTAAATTGAAGTAAAAATAAAAAAATCACCGTTCCAAATTGAGTAAGTAAATCCGACCTCTAGTGTAGCTGCGCAGAAAAATTCTGGGAGAGTAAAACAAGATACCCACATCACGCAATTTTCATTTTTTCAAAACACAGACATTGTATTCAGCGTTGCAGTTATTTAGACCGTGTAAAAAATCTCGTGACGTGTACGACGTCGCTGAATGCTAATATTTTCCAACAGGACTCTCTCTCTCTTTCTCTCTCTCTCTCTCTCTCTCTCTCTCTCTCTCTCTCTCTCGCCTCGCTCTTCTCTCGCTCTCTCTCTTGGCTCTCTCTCGCTCTTCGCTGCTCTCGCTCGGCTCTCGCTCTCTCTCGCTCTCTTCTCCCTCTCTCTCTCCTCTCTCTCTCTCCTCTCTCCCTCTTGAGTGTATTCTTCTGTTATGAAACTAATTAAATGACGTATTTTCAAGATAAGCAGCAAAAGTCAATTACCGTGTATAGGAAGCATTGTTAGTAAGACCATATTTACTTTCTCCCGCAAGAATAAGATCCGGGCATTTGTCATGCTGACGACAGCATTTATCAGTTTCTTTTTCAACTCCTAAATCGTCATCATTCACAGCATTGCTCCCGGCTCCACACCATTTCGTACCTGAAAAGTATTCATATTAAACAGGAGAAATGAATGCACGTGGAACTCCAGGAATTATTTCACTCCTATGCCTAGTGTTCAGCGGCATGAAAAATTGAAACTTTTTTTTAAATTTTTGAGTACATTATTGTCTGAAAGCTTAAACAATCTCAGATTCTTTTCATTAAAGGACAATCAGATCATAAAACTGTTGTTATTAAATAAATATCTTAAATGTGTTATCTCACCATAGTTTTTATTTTACTTCACACAAAGTTTCGGATTTCAACTTTAAAATTCATCTTCAGGTGAACTATAACATATGGTACTTAGTAAATTATTACAATAATCACAACATTGATTATCACAAAATTTTGAGAAAAAAGAGGCTAAACGTAACAAGACAAAGATGTTTAAAACCAAAAAAAAAAAATAGTTCATAAAATAGAATGTATGTAAAACAAGTGTTGTTCCCATCAACCTCTTATAATTAACATTATCCCATGTATCCCTTGCATAAACATCATAAAAGCTACATACGAAAAAGGGATGCATACTAGATAGAAAATCTAAAAAAAATCGAAGATATTTCATGTCGTTTAGTTCTTGATCTCCAAAAATGGTGAATTAAGGGAGGTTTAGAAATACTCGAAGAATACAGTCACCATTAATTTTGAACACTTAAACATGTGTCTGCTAATGTTATTGAAATTTTTTATTACCCAACGTGATAACGTTTCATCAAAAAAATTGGAGTCATTCTTGAGAAAATTTTGAAAATGTTTAGTGTCCATGAAAATAATTCTTAAAAATTAAAATATACGTTTGAAACTCCCGAGTCTCGAGTTCATTCATATCGATTGATAAATATCAATTTTGGAGAAAATCGGTTGAACGGTTAAAGTGCTAGCGGTAACGACAGACGGGCAGAAATGAGTTTTGCTGTCAATTGATTTTTCGGTATCCAGGACCCACAAAACATGGATTCTAGCTACACCACGAGTTAGAGAAAGTAATTTATTATATATAGCAACAGGATTTATTCACTTTTTCGTTACCAGTGCCCGGCAATAAGAGCTTTACCGCTGAAAATTCACCGTTTCCGGCGCACGATTATATAACTTTCTCTTCTTACGAAATAATTGCGAGAAAGTAAAAATTGAATGTAGTGATTTTTGCACTAAACACGTTTGTTTTAAAAAGTCAGATCTTTAAAAAATATATATGCAGATTTTTAAAACACGAGTTTTCGCGTAATTTGTGTCTGAAATGTATGCAATTCTAAAGCAATTATATTCTCAAAAACAGCTCCAAACGTTTTATTAAAATTTGCCTCCTCGAATGCGAGAACAGACTAAAAAGATGGTGCTAGTCCCATTGCCTTGAACTCCCTTCTCTTTCGAAGTTGGATATATTGGGTTGAAACAATTACATTTTTAAGCGTCGGTCCGAGTTTGAACTTCACGGCGCCTCTGTAGCGAAACGGAATGGCTGTCGGTGAGCGAACTCGGAGGACCTGACTTCGAGTCTCGATGTGGAAAATAATTTGTGCTGGTTGAAAATACTCTTGCATGTTTATATAGTATTATAAAATAGCGGAGAGGTTAGAAATAATGCGTGGACATATGTTGCCTCTAGAAGTAAATATGTTTGAAATTGTAAATTGTAACTGTACTATACAATAGATAAAATTCGAGTTATTGGTATTTGCGTTAGTGTGATTCCGTCGAAAGATATTGCTTATTTCGTTCTTTATACACATGAGAGGGCTATGATTACATCACGTGTGAAAGGCTTAAACATAATATTACCTGGGAAGATGAGAAAAGAATATTGTGTTCCATTTGTACTATCCTTTGAGTCTCCGAAATACCCCGAGATAGGATTGGAAACGCAGCCCCAAGAATATGGCAGAGCAGCAAACACGAGGACGACCAGAAAGAGAGGTGCAGATTTCATGACTATTTCCTGAGAACAAACATTGACAAACATTAGAGGACGATTTAAAAAGTAATTAATGTCACAATTCCAAGATTAGAAAATATGTTTATATATTAGAATAAATGTTACAAATTTCTATAGCATTTAGCCCGGGTAGTCCTCTTATAGTACGTGGGAATCTCTGGGGATCAAATAGGGTCAATTTTTGAACTGCGATATCCGAAGCAACCGACCTGGATGGCGGAGGTGGCTAAGAGCGTGTACCGACCCAGCGCTTCGGTGCGAAGGGTCGCGGGTTCGACTCCCGCCTTGGGCATGATTGTTTGTCCCTTGTATCTCATGTACATGTTGTCGTGGAGGGTCTCGTGATCTGCTGACCACAGATCAGAAGAGCAGGAAAGTGTGTCGGTGGAATATGCGTCCCATCGGGACGTAAAGGGTAACCGGCTGGATAAAAAAGTCTTGTAAAAGAAAATTACACAGGTGACATTTGCCTCTTTTTGTAGACAACTCATCATGATCTGGTGCTATAGTTCATGATGAGTTTGTCAGATGTTACACTTGTGGTAACTATCATATGTGTACAAGATCGTTATAGCAGGATTTCCATCGTAAGTTTTTTGGAAAAATGATATCACTTTCGACTCTATTGCATGCTTTAGAAATTCTTAACATTTATTCTGAGACACCCGTTTTATTTATATATTACATAGTGAAAGGGCCTCAATTCACGATAAAATGTAGGATGAGCATTGTATATAACATCAATTAACGTTTAAAATATCGTATTATTTGTGAAAAATGATTGCAAACAAATTGGAAATTAAATGTTCCTGTTTTACCACACTTTCTTGTTTCAAAATTTAAAGAATATTTTACAAATATACTATTTAAAAAACTTACACTTCAAATCCTTTTCGAAGAGAGACTTTCTGTAGACTGGCGTTTCTGCTGACCATCTGAACACTGACAATATCACATGCGATTTATGGTAGTTAAGTATTCCTTACTTTAAATTCAGCGAACTGCTCGCTTATAACTTTCTTTTTACTTGTTAATTGTGGTCACGTCACGAGTACCAACTCTCTAATTTTGTTTCCGGTGCTCATGGACAGGTATTTGGCACCCCGAAAGATAAAATTACATATCTCTCCATTGTTCTTGTATCGGAATCGCATTTCCATTACTTTTTCGTTGTTGTTGTTTGTGATTAAGAAGAAACCTTTACTTCTCTACGTTTTATTGCTATTCCTGATCATCCTTCGAATTTTAAGGCAAATACTCGTGTTGTCCTTTCCATATAGATGTGGGACCTAGTTATAAGTTCCGTAACTATATTTTTCTTGTTATTTGTCTTTATTGTTTAATGCAGAAATAAAAATATATTTTTCGACCTGCAAATTTTGTTACATTTTAGTAACTGTATTAAATAAACACAAAATCATTAATTATAACTAGAAAAACATCGTAATATACTTTTTACGGTCACGGTAACGGTAAATACGTTAGACATACATTACACTGGAACATTACAATATATTAGACATTACATTAGAATAGACTTATAAAAAACCTATTCTTATAAAAATGTAAACTAATAACTGTAAGGTAAACGGCTGGTGATCAATGCAAAGAATGCACATGGAAAACTACTTGGCCCACAGCCAAAAAATGGAAGAAAAATATTTTAGATTAAACAAAAGAAAAATTAATAATTTAGAATTAATAAACTTGATCAATCATTTTAAGGTTCTTTTCAGGATGCCCCTGGAACGTTTTAAAATTTTCTCAAAAGTGGCTTCAAATACATTCCTTAAATTTCAAGTAAGAATAGAGTTTGTTTGAGAATTGTTTAAACTTTTTAAACACTTTTTTTCTTAAAATTTTCTTCTCATAAGTTTCAAGGGACGGCAAAAAAAGTAGTTCTGGTGCTATTTTCAGAGAACTCTGTATTTTTGAATATTGCAAAAAAATAACATTACAGAAATACAATATCGAAGGTAGAGATTTTTGTCATAAATGAAATTTGTTAAAAATAAGATCTTTAAAAATGTCATGATAAAGCTTTAAAAGAACTAGTAGCGTTCGCTTAAAGAAATTATTGCAATTTATAAAAGCGTTTTCTCAAAAAAGGCTTGATATTTTGTCTTTAATTTTTTTTTACGGATAGGCGAAAGGACATTTAAAAATGATTCATTTCCGGTGAACTTTCTGATTCTTTGAAAATTGCGAAATTAACGATAATGGGAGATACCAGGCGAGTAAGCGGAGGGAAAAACTAGTATCCCCGAGCAACTGCGTGGTGTAGTGGTGAAGTGCTTGATTTGTTGCCTGGCGGCCTGAGATCAAATCTCGGTACGGAGAAAAATAATTGCTGGTGGGAAACACTTTTGCAGATCCATGTATTAATATAATATTTCGCAGCTATTACAGGTAACGCGAGAAAGTATGTGCTGCTGCAGCACCACTTGTTTTCTTTTAGTTTCTTTAGAATTAGCATGACAATTGAAGATTCTGCAATTAAATGATGAGCACCATATCCACATTGGAAATAAAATTCGCAAGGAAAATATGTGCACTATAATATTTAATTTGATTTGTTTCATTTATCATCAAAAACAGTAAAAAATGGTATTTTACGAATAGGGTAAAGCATAATCAGCGCTCGTTTTCTCAAATTCGAGAATTCTAACCCAACCCTTGTACTATGCCCAATTGAATGATCCATATGGATAGTTTATCAAAAGGCGTTGTTAACAATAATAGAAAACTAGAAATTTTCACTCTCACATTATAGAAAACTTATTTTCATCGAAAAATAAACTACATTTTTGAGATTTTACAGATTTGATTTTGTAGAATCGCTTACAATATAACAACCCACAACACTAGCCCTTCTACCACAACTAGCAAAAGGAGAGCTCAACAAAACGTACAGATAGTGAAGCTAAATTACTGCAGAAGCAAAATAAGCATTTCAGCATTTGCATCGATTGATCAATAGATTCTGAACGAAAACCCTGATCGAAATGAGTATTATTGTCCCTGAAGGCGAAGTACAAAGCACTCATTAAGAAGAC